TTTACCTTTTCTTGGATGCACTACTATCACTTGTATCAGGGTTACATTTGGGAGCCATGATGAGGGCAGAACAATAGAGTTAATAAGCAAAAAACAACAGTTTACACTTGATCACACACATTACTGAGGTAAGGATAAGGTGTACTGACGCTCCCTCAAGGCTGGGTGATGCATCACTCCCGACCTGCCACTCCGCCAGGCAAACTAGTTCCGATGTTAATACTACGAACCAGTTGTACCAATGTCTGATTCTCAAAATACTTGACCTGATGAGATGTCGTTTGTATCAGCGGGTGTTTGTAAGTCAGGGACCCCTGTACAGTATACATAACTGTAATCACTTTTTACATTCTTAACACTGCTTTAACACTGTATTCTTGACTAATTTTGTTCTGGTACAATAATGTACAGCACTGCACAACACAAATTGTACACAAAAACAGCAGCTAGCGAGGAACAACCTTCTACAATGGCAGCAGAATATGAACTAGGTGATCCAAGCAGTTGGCCACCCACACACCTGACAGGTGGGGATGGGTTGGAGCATAATGTACTCCCTCAGAACTCACTGAAAATTTATTCCCAGACCCAGAATGGAGAGATTCGAACTTTCTCAGAATTTTCCGAGAAAACGCACCTGATTTTTAATCTCGGAAACTCGAGAAAGCAGTAATGTAGCGCTAAAAGATTCCATAAAGGAATTATACTGAACAATAAACATGATGTATTAAGGAGGTAACTCCCAGTAACTCTGGTCACACCACCTCACCACCTCCTGCAGCAGTAACTCCCAGTAACTCTGGTCACACCACCTCACCACCCTGCAGCAGTAACTCCCAGTAACTCTGATCACACCACCTCCTGCAGCAGTAACTCCCAGTAACTCTGATTGCAACCTCACCCCACCACCTCCTGCAGCAGTAGCTCCCAGTAACTCTGATTGCACCACCTCACCTCACCACCTCCTGCAGCAGTAGCCCCAGTAACTCTGATTGCACCACCTCACCTCACCACCTCCTGCAGCAGTAGCTCCCAGTAACTCTGATCGCACCACCCTCACCTCACCACCTCCCAGCAGTAACTCCCAGTAACTCTGATTGCACCACCTCACCTCACCACCTCCTGCAGCAGTAGCTCCCAGTAACCCTGACTGCACCACCTCACCTCACCACCTCCTGCAGCAGTAGCTCCCAGTAACTCTGATTGCACCACCTCACCTCACCACCTCCTGCAGCAGTAGCTCCCAGTAACTCTGATCACACCACCACCACCTCACCTCACCACCTCCTGCAGCAGTAACTCCCAGTAACTCTGATTGCACCACCTCACCTCACCTCACCTCATCACCCCTGCAGCAGTAGCTCCAGTAACTCTGATTGCACCACCTCACCTCACCACCTCCTGCAGCAGTAACTCCCAGTAACTCTGATTGCACCACCACCACCACCTCCTGCAGCAGTAACTCTGTAACTCTGATCGCACCACCTCACCTCACCACCTCCTGCAGCAGTAACTCCCAGTAACTCTGATCACACCATCTCACCTCACCCTCACCTCACCACCTCCTGCAGCAGTAACTCTCAGTAACTCTGATCGCACCACCTCACCTCACCACCTCCTGCAGCAGTAACTCCCAGTAACTCTGATCACACCACCTCACCTCACCTCCACCTCCTGCAACAGTAACTCTCAGTAACTCTGATTCACCACCTCACCTCACCACCTCCTGCAGCAGTAACCCCCAGTAACTTGATCGCACCACCTCACCTCACCACCTCCTGCAGCAGAACCTTATATGCTAGGGATGGGGTGCACCTGTCTAGGGATGGAGTAGCAACCCTGGCTAGAGGCAAATAGAGGGCAGTTCAAAAGATATCCAGTCTTTAAACTGCTAAGAGAACATATAGACGCGGGGTGGAGGAGACTGCAGTGGGAGGCGGGTAAACAAAGCCGAAAATTACAGGAAATAGTGTTGGGAATGATGACAAACTAAATTAGACAGGGGTTTAAAACTAAGCAGTGAGGAGACTCAGAACCACGACTAACTGTGCCCATGCCTCGCGAACAGTAGAAGTATGAAAACAAAATGGATGATATTAAGGCCTTGGTATGTACCTGAAAATAGGTAAATTGCATTCACTGAAACATGGATCAGCAACCTAGACCCCGTGAATTACCAGTTGAATACCAAATTACGGGTTACAAACTGTTCCATGCCGATAGAGCAGACCAGGAAAAGGAGGCGGAGTAGTGTCTATGTTGGGATAATCTGAAGTGTGAAAATAAATAAAGAAATAAAACTGAGAGAATAGAAACAATTTTGGATAAAATTAAGCGGCCAGTCGGGAAAAAATTAATCACAGGGTAATATGGGCCCACAATCTTGATAGTCGTGACGTATCTGGGATGAAATGCTTGGGGCTTCCATACACAACAAAGTCTGCTATAGTGGCCGACTTTAACCTTGGCCAAATAGATTGGACCCGACTACGGGTAACTCAGAGAATCAAAGTTTCTCCCAGGCGATCCAGGACTGTTTCCCTAAGTCCAACATATAACCGAACCCTGCAGGGCCAATAATATATTGGATTTGTTTTGTCAAACAGAAAAACACTCGGCCTTAAATGTCGAGGTAGAAACGAACTTGCAAACAGCGATCACAAAAAGAAATTCGATTCAGTTAGATTTTCCAGGGCAGGCGAGGAAAATTCACTAAAATGCCAGATTTCAGAAGGGCAAACTTTTGACGGTTTAAAAAGGGGAAAGCTAGCTGAGAGAGGGGGTGTCGGCAGCGTGACCTGACAGATGACACCGACCTGATAGCGAGGATCTGGGGATTGCAGGTTCCGCGACGAATTCAATAGTGAGTTGTAATACTCGAGCAGAACGCCTGTACAAAAAACTCAGATCAGACAACAATATTCAACTGGATAAATAATTATTTAAAAGAACATCATTGGCCCGAGAGGCTATAAGTAGAAGGATAAATCGTGGCGAAATTCACCTCGGGGACTATTATAGGGTATTGGCGGTAGAGGTTAAAACCGAGATAGAAAGCAAGAGGAATAATAGAGGTAAGGATAGCAAGGAAGCGAAAGAGACAAACCCCAGTTCTACCAAATGTAATAAACTAAAAACCGAAAAGATTGAACTGTCAGGGTCAATCTCCGGCGAAATCACTGATAACAGCGGAGAAATGAGGCAATAATTGAATAAATATTTTTCAACAGTTTTTCCTGCGAAAATTCAGCATGATACCGAGCTGCGACTCTATTCAGAGATAGTGAAAACAAATTAAGTGAGATAGTAGTATTCAATACTTGATGTTAATGTAAATGAACAAACTAAAGCCTAATAAGTCACCTGGTCGATGAGATATTTGCCAAGAGTAGTAAGGAATGTAAGGAAGCTTAGTATACCCTTAACAAAGTTATTAAACGTAACCACGCCAAAAGGCAAGGTGTAGTACAGAATCCTGGAGGATAGCGAATGTAATACCGATTTTCAGAAGGGGGATGGGTGCTATCTAACCGCTACGCCAATCAGTCTAACATCAATAGTAGGCAAATTACTGGAAGCAATCATTTCAAACTCTGTTGAAAATCACCTGGAAAGCACCGATTGATCAATGATTCCCCAGCATGGCCTATAAGCGGGGCGTTCTTGCCCTGCTTAATCTATTAACATTCTTTTCATCAGTTTTGAATCGGTGGACGAGGGCACAATTATGATGTGGTATATCTACGACTTTATGACAACCGACAGAGTCCCCCGAATAATTAGAAAGGTATGAAGCTCATATCAAAGTGACTTCGCCAATGGATTAGGCGTGGTTACGGGACAATGAGGAAACAGCGAGTGAGCGATGCGGCACTAAGTCCCATTAGACAACGTCACAAGTGGAGTTCCCAAAGGCTCAGTACTTGAACCATTATTGTTTATTTATATGTGCATAAGCGACATGAATATCGGCATAGACAGCAACATAAGTAAGGATTTGCTGATACTAAAATGGGCGATGGTATCCAAATCTGACGAGGACTAGAAGCAGAAAACCACAGGAGGATCCTAAACAAATTTTTAAGTGAAGGTGAAAATGGCAGATGAAATTCAACATCGACAAATGTAAAGTACTCAGTATAGGAAATGTAAACAGGAAAACCAGATACCAGATGAACAACGATGCCATAGAAATCCGACTGCGAGAGATTTAGGAGTAATGATAAGTGGAACCAGCCAAGTAAACAATGTGTTTTAAGCTAACAAAGGCTAATAAAGTACTTGAGTTTCCGCTTAAAATTGACAGTTACAAGACTAGCGAGGTCATCCTAAACTGTATCTTGTAACATTGAGACCACACCTGGATTACATGATTCAGTTCTGGTCACCGTGTTACAGAATGGATATAAATCCTTGGAAAGAACCAGAGGCAACAAGACTAATCGGGCATTAGGAACCTTGAGTATAGAGACAGGTTGATGCATCTTAATTTGCACTCCTGAGAAGCACGAGCGGTAAGCGAGGCGACCTGATAGAGAATGTGCTATGTAGTGAAGAACTGAGGGGCCTTTAAACAAGGGGACACAGTACAAGGTACTCCAAATTATCCAGCAGGAGGCGAACTTCGTAACAATGGTTTAAGTGGACAAATTTAGATTTAGGCGTGAAATAGGTAAACACTGGTTTGGAAACAGAGTAGTGGATGAATGGAACAAGTTACAAATATCATCGATAACGCAGAATATCTTTGAATTGCTTCAAACATAGGTTGGATGCTCATATGAGCAATAAAGGGTTAGGTGTAGCAGGACTGCCCAGTATGGGAGCCCGCTGCAGTTTCCATTCTTATGTTAACTCCCAGTAACTCTGATTGCACCACCTCACCTCACCACCTCCTGCAGCAGTAACTCCCAGTAACTCTGATTGCACCACCTCACCTCACCACCTCCTGCAGCAGTAACTCCCAGTAACTCTGATCGCACCACCTCACCTCACCACCTCCTGCAGCAGTAACTCCCAGTAACTCTGATTGCACCACTTCACCTCACCACCTCCTGCAGCATTCAACATTATTTCTGGTGAGTTTTATTCCAGTGTGTACATTTATTGTTATGATACATCATTGTATGTGTTTGAAACTGTTATTTTCATTCTTACTGATAGGTGCTTGTATTACCTTTTTGGGCAGAAAAAAATTTCCTTGGGAACGCATCTCAACTTATATAATAAAAGTCAATGGGAAAATTGGTCCCGCGTTATGGAATTTTGCGATGCGGAAATATTTTCAGGAACGGAACCCTTCCATAACCCGGGATGCATGTAACAGTCTACCTTCACCTCTACTAACTTAATATCAAGTGAGTAATCACAGAGAGAAGACAATACAGTTATACCTCCATATAATGGACTTCTTCCCTATAATCCGGTAGATGAGAGTTTCATCAAACAGAGCCTCAATAAAATGGACGTTTCATCTCTATATACTGTAGTTCATTAAGTGGAAGTTCCATATCTATCAGACCCTCGACATAACATAATTTTCTCTCCATAAAGTCCGTTAAATAGAGGTTTCACTGTATATTTTCACCAATATTTAACATTTGCTTCTGAACTAACCAAACTATTTCTTCTTTTGGATGAACACCAGAAGCACACGATTAATTGTCTTAGACGTAAATTTAATGTTAAGGATGAACACGCACACAAACTTATCCCTTTCAATCACGCTTCAGTAAGCCACCACATGATCCAACCTTCATATCATATGGTGGGTCTAACTCTCATCTTTTCAACTTACAAACATTCTGTTACATTCAGTATGCAGTCTAATATTTCCCTTTATCAATTTTCCCTAAAATAAATAAATAAGATTCCTTTAGTGATCATGTACACTCACTGGCTTCATAATTCAATGGAATTTGGTGATTTTTCTATTGTTTTCAAATTTCTTGAGCAAATGACATCATGTGACGAAATACACAATACCTTACCACATCACATCCAATATGACTGATGCTGACAACACAGTACCTGCTGGGAAGAATCATGAGCACAGTACAAAACCAATATGATACACCAGATGGCTATACCTGTCAGGGAAGTGTTAGTGAAGTGAAAAAAAAAAGAGTTATAAAGGAGATGAAGGGAAGTGGCCTGGACCACACTGTAGGCAGGGCCTGCTACAGTGCAGTTCTGGGTAAGGGGGAAGGTGCACAATGTAGGCAGAAAAACAAAAGATTGACGTAAAAGTAAAGAATAAATTAATAATTTTCCAAATAAAAAGTAAAGAAAAGATGCATCAAATAAATTTAGAATACTAAAGGTACAGTTCTGCTAAAATTTACCCAGAACAGAAGAAAATATATTTTTAGAAAGAAAACGCAACACAAAATTGAATTTTATATCATACGTCAGTCACGGTTTCACCTGCCGAAGGAGGAAATCTAAGGGTGGTTCCGAGGAAAGGGTCCATCTTAATTATGAATGATTAAATATTAATCATCTGATGGGAATCTAAACTCACCCTCCGTCTTAAGAAGGGTTCATCCTGGAAGCAGAAAAACAAAGTATAAAAACAACATGCAGGTGATGAAATAATTATGTCAAGGATTAAAAAAGGCTCACAAGAAAACACATCACCTACCACACTGTGTCCTTATGACTGTACTATACTGTAGTACCCCACAACTAGAACACATGACTTACCTTGGCCACTCTTTCCTCTATGGATGGCCCTCCTTGCAGTAGAACAGACTGCAAGTACTTCTTGTCTTTGGCTTTTCTGAAAAATGGATGTTTGAGGAGTTCTGAGGCGGTGGGGCAGGGTCCTTCTGTAGGCAGTCTGTCACCATCTTTCTTATGGTCTTGCCATAGCTCTTGTACTGGTCCTGCAAGACATCAACACACCATAAAATATATCAACACACACCATAAAACACATCCACACACACGATAAAATACATCCCACACACCATAACATACATCAACACACACCATAACATACATCCAATACACGCCATAACATACATCAACACACGCCATAACATACATCCAGCTTTACCTGCATAACATACATCAGCACACACACATAACATACAACCAACACACACCATAACATACATCCTTTACCATAACATACATCAACACACACCATAACATACATCAACACACACCACACCATAACATACATCCACACACACACCATAACATACGTCAACACACACACCATAACATGCAACAACACCACACCGCGGCATACATCAACACACCACCAACAACCCATTCAACACCGCACCGTAACGTCAATACACCATAAAAACATGCGTCAACCGCACCATAACGTACGTCAACGCACACCGCCAACATACATCAGCACGCCGCCAACATGCAACAACACACCACCAGCATACATCAAGCACACACCACCAACATACATCATTACACCGCAACATACGTCAAGCCCACACGCCATAACGTACATCAACCGCACCATAACATGCATCAACCACACCATAACATGCATCAACACACACCATAACGTACGTCAACACACACCGCAACATGCGGTCGCACACCATAACATGCATCAACACCGCAACATACATCAGCACACACCATAACATACATCAACCTTGCACCATAACATACATCAGCGCACCATGACGCATCAACACACGCATAACATACATCAACACACACCATAACATGCATCAATACACCATAACGTACGTCAACACACGCATAACATGCATCAGCAGCACACGCCGCAACGTACATCAGCACACACCATAACGGCATCAACACCGCACCATAACATGCGATAAACACACACCCGCCAGCATACGTCAACGCACCACATAACGTACATCAACACACACCATAACATACATCAGCACACACACCATAACATACACATCAACACACACCATAACATACATCAACGCACCATAACAGCCACATCAACGCACCGCCAACGTACATCAACACACGCACCATAACATACGTTAACGCACACGCCATAGCGCGTAAAGCACACACCATAACATGCAACAACACACACCACTTAGTATGCTACATCAACACACACCCATAACATACGTCAACACACACCATAACATACATCAACACACCATAACAGCCCTCAACCCGCACACCACGCTAACATACATCATACCTGCACCAACATACATCAACACACACCACCAACATACATCCAGCGGCTTTACACCCGCAACATGCATCAGCACACACCATGACTTCCCACATACATCAACACACACCAACACATACATCAACACACACCATAACATACATCAACACACACCATAACATACATCAACACACACCATAACATACATCAACACACACCATAAAATACATCAACACACACCATAACATACATCAACACACACCATAAAATACATCCACACACACCATAACATACATCAACACACACCATAACATACATCAACACACACCATAACATACATCAACACACACCATAACATACATCAACACACACCATAACATACATCAACACACACCATAACATACATCAACACACACCATAACATACATCCACACACACCATAACATACATCAACACACACCATAACATACATCCACACACACCATAACATACACCAACACACCATAACATACATCAACACACACCATAACATACATCAACACACACCATAAAACACATCCACACACCATAACATACATCAACACACACCATAACATACATCAACACACACCATAAAACACATCCACACACACCATAACATACACCAACACACACCATAACATACATCAACACACACACCATAACATACATCAACACACACCATAACATACATCAACACACACCATAACATACCATAACATCACACACACCATAACATACATCAACACACACCATAAATACATCAACACACACCATAACATACATCAACACACACCATAACATACATCCACACACACCATAACATACATCAACACACACCATAACATACATCAACACACACCATAACATACATCAACACACACACCATAACATACATCAACACACACCATAACATACATCAACACACACCATAACATACATCAACACACACCATAAAATACATCCACACACACCATAACATACATCAACACACACCATAACATACATCAACACACACCATAACATACATCAACACACACCATAACATACATCAACACACACCATAACATACATCAACACACACCATAACATACATCAACACACACCATAAAACACATCCACACACACCATAACATACATCAACACACACCATAACATACATCAACACACACCATAACATACATCAACACACACCATAACATACATCCACACACACCATAACATACATCAACACACACCATAAAACACATCCACACACACCATAACATACATCAACACACACCATAACATACATCAACACACACACCATAACATACATCAACACACACCATAACATACATCAATACACCATTACATACATATGTATGTGTGTGTGTGTGTGTGTTCACACACAGGGTGGTGTAATGCATCTAGTGTGGCAGCATTATGTTAGTGTTAAGGTGCAAGCATTGTTTGCTCCCTCTCGCTTTCAGCTGCCACCACTGGCTAGCCCTCGTGGTGAGCAGGGAAGCAACTTGCATAAGTCTTCTCCTGTCAGTACACAGCCTCTCCACCATCAAGACTCCTGCTGTGCCTCCTTGTGGCAACACACGGTAACTGGGTGCCTCGTGGGCCCAGGCAAGACCAGCAGGGGATCTTGGAGCAGCAGTGAGCCCCAGAAGGGCGACACATAGGCCCACAGGCATGTGGACACGCGCTGGCACTTACCCAGTACTGCCCCACTGCCTTGTGGGTTAACCTTGGTAGGTATAAGGCTACGGGAGTAAACACAGAACGAAAAATTTGAGGTGGAGCCCTGCAACAGGCAGACATGCTTACAGAGCTCCATCAAGACCCTAACGGCGGTATAGGCGGAAGAGGTGACCACCATGGGAACCCAAACACTACACCGGCGGACGAAGGCAATGCCTGATGGACAGGCTACTAAGGCGAAACCCAACAAACTGGGCTATCGGCAGTACATTACAACTCTCCCTTTCCCCAGTCATTGCAACACTTACACAAGTGGCTCAGGAAAAGGGAGAGCCAAGATGTGTAGCTGCAACCTGCGCTCCTTCCTCACCACATAAATCAACTCACGCGCAGCCATCATCCAACTCATCATACACTACTTTTCATCATCATTAAATCCCATCAACACTCAAAGTCCAATGGCAACAGATAAGTGCCGATGGGGACAGGCAAATATGACTGCACATGGGCAGCATAGATAACATGGTCATTTATACACTGGGATCTAAGCAGCAATGCAATCCTGTCCTGTCTGTGCAACTGAGCAGCCCTTTCCAGGAGCCACTCTGCTCACCCAACATGGGGAGGGGGCTAGAAAAGGTGCCCTATACATAGCCTGCCTAAAGAACCAACCTAACTGGGAAACCGCACCCAGTAAGGTCATCCTTATGCAGTTGAAAACACAATCAAATTCACAGATCAAAACTAAAAAAAACTACAGTGGTTACCTCGGTTAACGAGCACAATCCGTTCTAGAAGGTTACTCGTTAGCCGAAAAACTCGTTAACCGAAACCATTGTTTCAATGGGTTTTTGGGTAATTGGTTCCAGCTCACCGAAAATTGCCTAAATTCAACAAAAAAGGTAGAAAAGTACACTTACTTTGAGGTGTGTATGTAGAAGGCTCCTGGATGATGATGATGATGATGGGAATTAGAATGGGGGTGGAGGAGAAGGGAGACGAGAAGGCATTGGGGTGGAAGAGAAGTCACCCCAATGTGCCATTTCACCCATAAAATTTTAGTTCTCTTGGTGTAATTCAAGATTATTTTCTTTAAATCAACACTGCACTGCATTATATATTGTCAATATGCAAAATAAATTTCAAAATGACCAATAATTTGTTTGTAAACACAGAAAAAAAGCATTTAGTTGAAGAGAGTCTCAAGCAAGATGTTACCTCCACTGAAAAGACACAAAGACTGACGCCTGTATGCTGTGTTGGCAGGCTGGATGGCGTGCCACAAACTAGTGACCCTACCTTCAATTATGTTCAATAATTGTTAAAATGACTAAAAAATTTAATATTAAACTTTTAAAATTATTGAATAGTATAAACTTCTTGATATTTACTAAAAGGGTAAGGAATTTAAGCCCTAGAACCGATTACTGTATTGGCTGACTACTGTAATACTACAGCTGGTGGACCGCCAAATGCAAGCTAATACATGTGGAGGTCGGCTCGTAAGAAACTTGTTAATCGAGGGATTGCTCGTTAACCGAAGTTAAGAATCTTATGGAAGGTAACTCGTTAACCGAAATCTCGTTAACCGAGGCGCTCGTTAACCGAGGGACCACTGTACAATATACAACCTCTTATGGTCGCTGCATGGAATGTCAGGACCCTTCTGGATACTGGCACAAATGCGCATCCTGAAAGAGGAACTGCCCTTGTGGCAAAAGAGCTGGCTAGGTATAACATCGACATAGCAGCCATCAGTGAATCCCGGCTCCCAGACGAGGGTCAACTCATAGAACGGGGGTCAGGCTACACCTTCTTCTGGAAGGGTAATCCTGCTGTGGAGAGAAACTGCATTTGTGGAGTTGGCTTTGCCATTTGCCAATCCATCCTACACAGGTTAACTGTGAAATCCTTGTCGGTGTCAATAAGGGCCTCAAGGCACTCTGAATCCCACTGAATCACTCACATCATGCCTTTTTCATCAATGTATACGCCCCAACACTGGATGCAGAGGATGACATCAAGGAG